ATAATAATAATAATAATAATAATAATAATAATAATAATAATAATAATCATCATCATCATCATCATCATCATCATCATCATCATCATCATCATCTACTTATTATGAAAGAGGAAAGCTGAGATACACATTTTTTTCAAATAGCAAGTAGCCAATACTTAAAAGAAAAAAGCCAAACATGTCTTAAGTATTTCAGATTTCAGAGACCGCAATAATATCAAATCTGTTGGTGGCATATACATGATTAAAGAAAATCACCCTTATCTTCATAAATTGAAGTGGGAAGAAAGGAAAAAAAGTGTGTTCTTAAGGAGCTCAATCACCTTGCAAATTAGATCCAAGAACACATAAGAGATCTTTGACCACTAAAGCCTTAGTTCAGCCATCATAATCAATGCAATGATTCTATTATCCAGGACCACTAACAAGTTCATACAAGAGATGAAAAATTGAAAGGAAGAAAATCCCAAAACATATCAAATTGACTTAAATTAGAAGAAATCCAACAGGAACGTTCCAAGATATTTGGGCATCTGACATAGAAAATTCATATGGTTTTCTAAGTTTCTTCACAAAAGTAAATGCAATAACAATAAATTAATATTCTGTATTTTGATTAAATGTAAACTCTTACTGTCTCAAGCCATCTTTTCCCTTGCCTAAATAGGAGACAGACTGGAATTACAACTCCTGCCTATCTTCTTAAGTCCATGTGAGCACAGCATAAATGGCCCAACAGAATATGTTAGTCATTATCAAGAGGATATAGGAAAAACTCTATGCAGTTAGCAACGTAATTATTGATTAATTGAATGTTTACAACACACCTTATACTGTTTAGGTAAAACTATAAAAGATTAAACTTTAAATAAGAATAGTTTTAATCTAAGTTGTGAAACAACAAAATATAAATATTTGGCACATGTTGAACTGAATAGAGACTGATGGGACAAAGTTGATGCAATCAAAGAATCTGAAAACTGCGTTGCACAACTTTTTTTTCTTCATTTCATGTATCTCATGGCCAATATGACAGGACAAAGTTAGCTACCTCTGCATAACAATTAGTTATTGACTGAGAGGAATGTTTTCACTTAGTGCAAAGTATTAATATTGTTACTCTGCTAATCTTGTTTTCTATATGCCTTCTATAGCCCATAGTAAAATTCCTGATAATTTAAGAGACTGACTTTTGCCCAGAAAAATCAGATTTCAAAATTGCTTCCAAATACTGTACATGGTAGCAGTATATCCAAAGCAGTGGATATATTGCAAAACAATAAATACTAATACAGACACACTGTAATTCAAGCAGTTGGAGATGATAGGTGAAAGCCACCGCAGGCTAAATTCAGTAGCAAATCTGGTCTCAAACCCATGTTATGTGCCATCATAACCAACAGGAGAACTTGGCAGGATTTCTGGCATCAAGTAAGTCATTCCTGGAATTTTTCAATTAAACATTATCAGGACAGAATTAACAAAGGCTGAGATAAGAAGGGAGGGAGGGAGAAAGGAAGGTGTTTTGCATGTAAACAAGAATGAAGACTCAGAGAGAGCATGTTGGCAGGATTTTACAACTGCAGCAGTTAAGAAGGTCTCAATTCATCCAAGACAGACAGACAAAAGAGTCTGGCAGTTTCTGTGTGGAAGAAAGTCAAAAGCTGTCATGGCTAGTTCATTTTAAGGTGTCATCAGCATTTTTGAACATAAGAATGGCATTGTAGATTTTAAGTGCTGGGCCAAGCTTTACGCTCATGATCTTCACAATGTCAGCCTGAGTCAGCAAAAGGAAGGCCTCACCATCAATCATCTGTGGAAGATATGTCTGTTTAAGTATAATGCATATACAGCAACAGATTAAACATCCAATTATTTAATCTCATTATACTGTTAGCAGAAGATGCAAAATAAGACAATTCAGAAAGGTGAAGAAGTCCAAAAACTTTACTGTATTCAGATTTACTGTACAGATTGAATGGTAACAGTAAGACTTCTTTAATGCATGCTTCAAAAAGGATTCAATCATTTTATGTTTATTCAAGATCCCATCATAAAAAGTTAAAACCACCAAACTCAATCTGAGAATATAGCAACATTTCATTAATTCAGTGAATACTTCTGTTGTCATATTTGGACACAGCAAAACTTTACTCTTGGGCATTGAGTAACTTGTGGAGTAAATAGGTAATTGCAGGTTGCTTATCTTTTAGGAAAAGTTCTTAATATAGATAGTCCTCACTTTTCAACCACTTGTTCGGTGACCATTCATAGATGCAATGGTGGTGAATGAGTGATACTTACAGCTGATCCTCAATGTTCTGGTCACTGCAGTACCCCTGCAGTCACATGATCACAATTCAGGTGCTTGGTAACCAGTTTGTATTGGCAACCAGGGTTGCAGCATCCTACAGTCATGTTACTAATATTTGTCACATTCCCTGCAGGCTTTCCTCAAGCAAAGTCAATGTGGAAGTCAACAGGAAAGACTGCAAGTCATCCTACTAAGTGCCCTCCAGTTTTCTTACTCCACATGCCAATGAATTTTTATTTTATGAGACTGTAGAGCACTTGGAATAGTGCTAAGCAGCAGGCATCAGGCTAGAAACAGTTCCTCATTAGATATGAAGTCATCAAGATGACCTTGGCCCAATCACCCTCTCTCAGGCCTAGGAAGGTGGAAATGGCAAACTACTTCTGAAATCTTGCCAAGAAAACTTAATGAACTAGTCCAGGCAAGAAGTCAAAAACTGATTTGAGGATACACACCAGAGGTGGTATTCAACAGGTTCTGACCAGTTCTGGAGAACCGGTAGCGGAAATTTTGAGTAGTTCAGAGAACCAGCAAATACCATTTCTGACTGGAGATTTTAAAGTATCCTTCCCCTGCCACACCCACCAAGCCACGCCCACAGAACCGGTAGTAAAAAAAATTGAATCCCACCACTGATATACACACAAAAAATATTCCACTACTCTACCTCATCTCTGAAGAGTTTTGCTTGATCCTCACAACCTGTTAACGTCTGTACAAAGCTGAAAACCTTTGGAGAAAAGACATACAGACAAAAATTAAAGAAGAGAGAAAAGGGGAATAGCAGTTTTCTCTATACCAACAAATCCTAAACCTTTCTTTAATATGACCTATTTCACCATCAGAAGCACCTGAATCTGATCTATTAACCAAGACTTGGTAATATACTATCCCACCCCTAATGACATCTGGAAGATGCTGAAAAACAAAATTATTTAAATGTATTACATTAAAGTAAGGTTACGGTTGCTTAAACAAAATTTTGGACGCTCTTACCTCATCAATTGTCCATTTGGCCACTGTGGATGCTGTGATCCCAGCTACTCCAGGAAGAAGCTTACAATGCTGATCCCAGCAGAGAGATAAGGAACGGTCAGGATGTGCTGACAAGGCTGACATAAACAGAGACTGGTGCATACTTTCTGATGAAATGGCTGATAACAAGATTTATCACATGTCAAATTAGAATGGGAAATTTAAAAAAAAAAACCTCAAAAAAGGCAGAAGCAAACTTCTTCTGTAACCCCTTGAAGAAAAATGTGCGGATGCAATAATCAGGAACTGAATTCAGCTCATGGGTACCATCATCATTCTAAAGTATGGAGAAATTGGCTTCTTCTACAAGTTCTATGACAACTTTCTCCTATCCGATATGTTGAGATTACACCACCCAGAACTCCTGGTCCTCCAATATCTCTTGGTGCTGTGTTATATCTGACTTTTGATGGGATAATCCCCAACCCAAGCTGATGATCAATTTTAGGGTCTTCCTGGACATTTACCTCCTGTTCAATAAGCTGCTGGTAGTTATGGGAGGGGAATATCTGTACAGATTTACCAACTGCACCAATTCCTGAACTGAGAAACCTTGCTCACAGTCATTCATGCCTTAGTCACTTTCTACTGGATTACTTTAAGATGCTGTACATGACACTAACCTTGAAGACTACCCAGAAAATCCACCTGATCCAGAATATAGTGACATACACACAGTGTTAAATACCATTCAGGCCCTATAATATACCAGAGTATACAAGATGCACTGGCTCCCAATCTCTTTCTAGATGCCAATCCAAGATGCTAATAATGACTTTTAAAGCCTTGCATGACAGTGTTATTTGCATGATTACCTTTCCCTGCCTATTCTACCCATTTTGGTAGGGTGGATATGCTCCGGGTCCCCTTCTTGAAATGTCTTAACTGGTCTGCAGTTTTAAAGGCACTAGTCTCACTTTAGGCAAAAAACTATATGTGTGATTTTGGACAAATCACTCTCAGCCTTAGGAAGGAGGCAATGGTATCTTGCCATGGTATCTTCTGGTATCTTGCCAAGAAAACTGCAAGGACTAATCCAAGCAGTCACCAAAGACACAGAAAAAAATCAAAGTGGATCCTAAAAAGCATATGCCTTTTTCTATGGAATCCCCTTTCCTATAGAATCCATCAGGGACCACAAACGTTTTTTGCTCTTCATACCCTGCAGGCAAAAGGGATCTCTCGACAGCTATCAATATGGATTACCTTCTACAAGCTTTTGAAACTAGCCAAAACTCCAGGTTGCCCAACTCTATTACTAAAGTATCCTAATAGCATCAACATTTTAAATAAAGTTTCATAATCTCTTCCGCATTACATTTGAATAGGATTTCCATCCCTATAGATATATAACATTAATGGCGAAAAGCACAGAATATATTTTAACAAAGATGGTATTTAAAACATAATTTGAATTCTATCAAGTTAGCCAGATCCAGTTGTACCTTTTACATATGAAGACCCACTCAATAATTATTTTTCTACTCTTATAGTATTGTTCTTACAGGATAAGCCCTTTTTTGCTTGCCACTTATAGAAAAAACAAACTAATATACTTACTTTGGAAATCATCCTGCTGGATTTTCCGATATTTGGGAGGTCGTCCTCTAGAGAAACAAAAAATGCTTTATATAAATCATAGGGTTGATTGGAAAATGTGCTATAGTAAACCTTACTAGCTAAACCTTAAACCATATATTGGTGGGGGCAGAATTATGTGAAACAGATGACAGTGGAATAAAAGCAGCTTGGAAAAGTGCTATACAGGTAGTCTTCACTTATTGACTGCAATTGGGATAGACAAATCCATTGCTAAGCAGCACAGTTTTTAAGTAAAATGTCATGTGACAACATGGATTTATGATGTCAATTCTGGCTGCAGTTGTGAACCAAATCACTGAGGTAACTTACTGCTGACTTCCGCAATGACTTTATTTGTAAGAAACTGGCAATTACATGACCATGAGATGCTGCAATCATCATAAATGTGTGCTTGGTTACCAAGCACCCAAATTGAATCACATGATCACACGCAATGGCTTCAAGATTGTTCTTCAGTGCCATTGTAACTTTGAACAGTCACTGAATGAGTGATCAGTAATCAAGGACTACTTCTACTCGCAAATGTACTCCCAAGAACAAGTAAAGAAAAGGTGCATGTATTTCAAGATTATATGCCTTATCAAAAACATCTTTCTCAATGAATCCACAAGAGAAGAATGTTTTGTTTGTTTTACAGACCATGAATCAAATATCCATGTCCAGAAATTTGCATGGAGTATCTAGCTGATTTTTTTCATTTTTTAAATTTAATTGTATTTATTGCTTTTATATCCTGTCTGTCATGGATAGTGGAAGTATTAGCTGACCATGGTTAATCTTGAAAAAATGCTGGATCTGGATAATAGTTGGGTGGGGGATAACTAAGGAATACTAGACTGGGATGTCAAAAAAAGAAAATACAAAGATAAATCAATGTCATGTTACTGACAAGAAAGTGAGTGCAACTTCTATGAGTTGAGCTTGATTTGAGTGACTTTTTAACATTTTCTTTTGAAAGTTTAAGATGTATACACAGATGGGATTTCTCCCCTCATTTTTAATTCAGAGCAACCTACAATATGAGGTGGGTAGGACTGCTTCAACCCTACTAGGTAGATCAAATCAAGAAACTAACTTCACAGAAAGACTAAAACTATTTTTATCGAGAGTAGCTACAATTACAGAACCTTGCAAATCTGACTGTGTTGTACTCTTCTTCCTTCAGTGAATAAGGGAAGTGTCTGTTTGTGGACAGCCAAGAAAAAAAACACCAAATGGATTATCAAACAAATCAACCCAGAGTTCTCACTTGAGGTACAAATGATCCAGTTCAAATTAATCAAAATTTTGGACACATTATACAAAAAAACTAGCCCTATGCTGAGAAAGGTAGAAGGAAAGAGAAGATGAGGATGACTAGCAACAAGACAGATAGATTCAACTGCAGTGGAAATGGATACACCATGGGAAAACCTGAAAGATAAGTTAGGGACAGACAGTCGTGAGAAAATCTATTTATGTGATTGCTAACGGTCAACAATAATTTGATGGCCCATATTTAATCACACTGAGAGCAAACTCTGTGATTAAATGTGAACTTGAACCTGGATTTCCATGTAGTTCAACTCCTTAATCACTATTATACTTCCATTGGCCATGTCAAAAATGTGGTTGATGTGTATATATTCTTTCATCATATCCAGTGTGGTTCTTTCCAAACATGCCACCAGAAGATTTATGGAGCTAAATATTGATTTTTTGTTCTATGCATTTCCTTGTATGCAGCTTTAAGATTAACATGCCTGTTAATCTTCATTTTAAAAATATTTTAAGTACATACAGGGATCATCTGCTGTTTTCTATCTAGCCTCTCCTGGACTGAGATATGCTTAGCTTTGAAATGACAATGTATTATATGACTTTGAAATTATGCCATGAGATGTTCTATTTTAATTTCTAATGCCACAGTTGATTAGGACCCAACTTACTCACAGATCTCTGCACTCAGAAGCAAGTTATTCTGCATAATATTAATAAGAACAGATATAAAAGCAGATAATAGATTAGTTTAGAAGGTGACTCAGGGTCCAAGAGAATAATATATAAAAATAGATATAATGCCTGGAGAAGCACAGGATTAGCAAAAAATCATGCATAAAGTATGAGGAATAGCCATAAAGCAAATATTTGAAAATGACTGGTTATAAATTACAATGGCACCCTTCAGTGTGACATCCCAACGGATTAACACTGGCTGTTCCTTTACCTTCCATGATGGCGAGACTTCTTCTTCTGGGAATAAGCAATTAGGTTCCTTTTTCGAACAGAGTTTTCAGTGTCTGAAAGTTCAGCCTTTACCCTCCCCTGGTTTTTCTCTGCCAGGGGACACCCTGAGATGCAGTAATGAGCTGTAAATCTCCCAGTCACATGGCCTGAACCATCACAACCAGGTGTTGGACACTTTCTGGAAAATAGAGATTAAAAAAGCATTTGGTTTTGTGTGTTAGCAGGTGCTAAATAATAATAATACTATCCTGCTCAATATTCATCTATGAAATTTAGCAGCTGTGAACCATATATGCTCAATTTTAAAAGTTTCAGCTCCTTTTTTCAGTCTATTGCAACCAACAATAAAAACATAAATTGCCACAAAAGACTAGTAGCTGGAATATCTTGATGAGGATACAGGATTCACACAATATGTTGAGTTGATTTATTCCAGGTAAGCTGCACAGACACTGAAGTAGTAGTTGTTCCTCAACAACTCTTAGTGGGGCCTTAAGTTCATGCTGCCTATACCAGCATAATCAGCAGGATATTGCATCTTATGTTGAGTGCTCACCTATGAAAGCTATATTTGGAAGTCTTGGTAGCTGGGAGGGTTTTACAGGCCAAGGTTGGACAGCTTCCATTGGTAGTGGAGATGGGTTCCTTTGGCCCTGCTCAAAAGGGAAGAAATAATTTGAATCTCAGGCACTTTAAGACAAAGGCAATTTCCATCTGAATGAAGTTATAATTAATTTTCTTTCTTTAAACAAAACTTGTATATAAATTTTTCTCCTCCCCTCCCCAAACAAATATAGTTCAAAATTTGAATTCTAATTAGTAAAATTTGCCTCTCTATTTCTATGTTGCATATTAAAATATTTTACAGTTGAATTTCAGAAATACCCAACTACACCAACATTCAAAACTGTTCAGTAGATATTTCTAAAAAACAGGAAATATTTATGTATTATATATTTGGTTTAATGTTTGAAAGCCATTCTTACAATGTGGCTTATGTAAACATATTAAAGTACACTAAATATTTAGTTAAAACAACAACATTGGTACAGTAATTTAGCATTAAAAAGCAGCAGAATTATCTAAAATAGCATCCATGAACCATCCTAAACCTTTGAAGAGAGACTACTTGAAACAAATAGAAGTTTTAGAAGTTTTCATAAAGCTTAAATTGAGTGGAATATATACACAATTATTGGAAATGTCCCTACAAATTTTGTACAGTGATAATAAAGTCTTCCCTCTTTCTTTTGGAAACAAAGCAACTTTATAGATTCATAATTGCATAGGGGTCATGTTTTTATATCTTTTTGGAGAACTAAAGATTCCTCACATATAAACACTGTAGTTCCAGGGCAAAAGAATTAACACAATATAAGGTGTTTGCGTTACTTTTTCATCACCTGTTATAATTATAAGCTAAAAGATGCCACCCTATTATTCCACGGAGTCTGTGCTGTCTATTTCTACTGTCACTAGATAATCATGAGAATGTGGCAAGTATTTGTGCAACATGTAGTTACTGTTCTTACTAAGAGGAGGTTGCAATGGATGTCCAGTTTTTGAGCACCATCCAACAGGATGAATGTCTGGGTGATCTGAGTCAATCCAGAAATCATAGATATGGCTCCAGCCATCAAAATGAATCTATAGGCAAACATCAACAGAATGTAGTTAGATTTTAGAAATCATCCTTGGAGCATCCAACCAGCAGAGACAAAGGTGTATTTTCTCTAATCATATATATATGATTAGAGAAGTATGTTTATATAAAACATACTTCTAAGACAACATACCTCACAAGTGGAAGTATGAATCTTTTAGATGCATGCAACACTCCAAAAAGGCAAAGGATGAAAACTACCGAATCCCCACATCTCACTCCAAATCCACCAATATGCAGGCAAAACGAGCATAACTGAAAATCTGTTCATTCCGGAGTCTGTTTGGTCATGGCAGCATGGAATCAATGGGGAGTCTCAGAAAAAATGTTATAAACTTCTAAATAATTCCTTCTCCTCATTTTACAGAGGCCACATTTCTATTGTTTAGGGATGGAAACTGAATCCATACCTTTTCTTTCCCACGTTATTGTCCTTCCTATTCATCCACAAGTGAAAATGGTGCAGTTTTCATAATTATGCCACTATATTTTACCTTTTGGCTTGCTCATTTGACCTCATCTCTTCCCTTGACAAATGCTTTTTCTTCTGACATCTAAATAAAAAGTACTAGGGGATAGTATTATGAACACTATTTGTGGGAAAATAGTGGCATCCCACTGAGAACAGAAAACTTTACTGAGTATAAAATGCACAATTCTTAATCAGTGTTGACAAAAGCATATCAGCTATCCATGACAGCATGCCTATGTGCTGTGCATGGAAAGGAACAGGAATAGACATTACTACAGTTGCTTGGCTATTGCCAAATCTTTCTGCATTATCTTCTGTACCTACCATATTGCATTTACTGTTAGATCTTTCCATTTTTGTAAGTACCAGTGAAGTGACAACCATAAGCACAGAAGAACTTTAGAATTGGTGTGTCTACCTGCATTGATATCTGTTGCTATAACAAATTAAGTGGATGCTATCGTATGACATTTGGCAATATTGGCCCTGAAATAAGGGGGAAAGTGCCCTCAAAGTGCCCTCTTCTAAAGTGACTGGCCAATTACCCCAAGATGCTTTTCCAAATGGCAACTGGATTTTCTTGGTTTTTTTTTTCTTTGAAAATGTTTCACTTCTTATCCAAAAAGCTTCCTCAATTCTTTTTTCAAAGAAAAAACCCAAGAAAGTCCAGTTGCCTTTTGGAAAAAGCACCTTAGGACAACCATGATCTGGATGACTGAGAATCTCCACAGACATTGGCCAATCATATCTCCTTGTTGCCTTCATTCCTTCACTATAAACTGGTTTCTCCCTCCCACATCAGCCCTCCTGGGAAGGGGCTGCAGACCAGTACCAGTCCATGTGGGAGGCAAGCAAGTGCAGCTTCATCTGTACATGCACAGATCTAGGTTGTGCATGAAACCATACCACCACCCCCAGTCTGTGGAAAAATTGTCTTCCATGAAACTGGCCCATGGTGCCACACATTTGGGGACTGCTGTTCTGGGGAACCAAGGAGGATTGAAAAAGAATTCCTCACCTCCCCCTGAGGTGAATATAGAAGTATACAGAAATACAGAACAAAAAATTTTGAGGTCTGTAGCTCAGCCAAACTCAGGCAGGTGTCAAAAGGCAATTGATCAGTTCCAGAATTTAAACAAAAACCAACTTATGTCAAGTTATAAAATAGGTTTCCACACTTACAACACCAAGTAATAATAACAATAATAGCAACAACAATAATAATACCCTAATGCAATTCTATCTAAACCAACTTTCAGCCTTGCCTGAGGTAACAACCTCATCCAGCATTCCAGCAAACTCCTTTACCCCAAAGCTCTTTCTACCAAAAACCCCTTTCTACTGAATCCCCTTCTTTTGCTTTCTTGGCCTCTTAGGAGTCAGGGATGTACTTCTGGGCACAAAAGATTGGCTTTTGATTTAAAGGGCCAGCCACTCCCCATTACAGGCTCTGTATGTTCAGCTCTGAAACAATCACATTTATACATTAAGGAAAGCTATATTTTACAAACAGATAACTATTATAGTAAGCAAACAAAGCTTCTTATTGTTCTTGTTAAAAAGTTTATTCTGCTTTTGCCTGTTGTAAAAGCCAACATTGAAGTATACATTAAGTTCTCAGGTTTCAGCAAGCATTAAAAGTTATAGGTTTTCTTTATAAGCATAGGGCTATAAATACTTTCTATAATCTTAAGAATGCAGAATTTAAATCCAGTATATGTTTATTTTAGTGCATAATTGTAGAATACAAAAACAAAGCTCAGGTTTTCCCAAGCTATAGATGAAAGGCATAATTAAGTGATAAACAGGGATTTGGGTACATCATGCAACCATCTGTAATATGGCTTGTTTAATTTTGACTTAAATCTGTTGTATGCTTTAGTCAACAAATTATGGCTTAGTACCGTGTATCAATTAAGTCAAACTATCGCTTTGCTTATATAAACCCCCAAAAGCCATTGTAAATGTTACAAAATAACATTTATACTCCTGCATTGTATTTTTTAATCACAAATAGACTTTGGATTTTTTTCCCAATACCCATTTCATTTACCACAAGGAAGTACATAAATTACTGGGCAATACCATGAAAAAGAAAGGCATAAGCAGAAAGCAGAAGAAAAGCCCACCTTTATCCTGTAGTCTTCTACATCCTCTACACTAGCAACTCTGATTAGAGAGGGGGTCCTTCGATCCACTGCCTCCAATTTCATGTTCATCAGAAAGTCATGGGGTTGCCTCTAGAGTGAGGCAAACAAAAAGGTAAGGAAAGATGGTGCTTATGAGGTGAAATCACATCCTGCACAACTAACTTTCCCCTGGCCTGATTCATCTTTTTATATGAGAGAGGAACAATGCATGGTTTGTTGCTTATTCTAGTACTGAAAACTTTAACCATTCCTAGATTCTAAAACTGCACATAACCAAAATAGCTTCCCCTGAAAATGCGATCAGAGGAAGAATCGCTGTCTTCTGAACATTGACTTAAGCATACATAAGGTTTCCCTCCTCCCAGCTATACTTCTGGAAAATATTGAGGCCGAGAGGAAAATATTATGGCAGAGATTTGGAACAAATGCAAACTACTCACCACCTTAAAGGCCCAAGTTGGTGCTGCAGAAGCACCTGTTTCTGACAAATATTTTTCCCAACAGAAGTTCTCAGGGTCAGGATAGTCTGGAAATGAAAATATCTGGGAGATGAAAAGGTTTTGCTGGAGTGGATCTATTTAGAATAATTCACTAGTAGCAATAGGCTCTTGGGAACTCAAATTGACCATGAATGTTAGTTACTGATAGATACAAATCAATGGTCAATTTAAAACAGGGATTGATTATGCCTAGCATATTAAAAAAATTCAATGTCTTACACCATAAATGTCTTCTCCAATACAGATGCCCTTGAAATGCAAGGACTTCAACTTCCATAAGTCTCAAAAATGGTCACTGAGCAAACCTCTAGAGGTTTCCAGGTTGGGGAAGGCTAAGCTACAAGTTCATGACTGATTTATAAAACATTCTTCTACAGGAAGGTTGAATGCTATTTGGGATCTATATTCCAAAAGGTGGGCAAACCTAGGGCAAAGAAATGGGAGAAACAAGGACAAAAACTTTTTATGTTATGTAAGTTAAGTAAAATATTACATTTTCATGATGCCATTTTTATTTCAGCATTTAGTTTCAAAACTTCACTTCAGGAAATCATGAACTGACATCTATTTTAACAAAAAATCCTTGCCATGATTTTATGCTACTTGTTTATTATTGTATCTAAAAGGGCTTATATTTTAAGAATAAATAGGGGTGTGAATTCCTATTTGATCACAAAGCAGTATCTGTGATGGAAGGAGTAACCAGCTAGATGGCTCATCATATTTCCTGTATTGGAAAATGCCCTATGTGCATTCCTATATCTTTTTCCTTTAGCAAAAGATGGAGTAGACAATGCTTAGACATTCACCTTGTGGAGGAGTGAGAGGTTTTCCATGTTCCTGACACCAACCAACAGGATGAATGTAGGGGCTACTGGGATCACACCTGCAATAAAAATATGTGGTTATATAGTCTGTCTAAAGGTTGCCAGAGTGAGTGGGGGAATCAAGCATTGCTTTAATTATGTGCAAGTTTATTACCTGTTTAAAAATAATAAGCAAGGTAGGGTTTCTTTTTTATAAATATCACATAGGATAAATTTTACATTTCCAACACAATCCTGGCAAAATGCCCATTCTTGCCCTCCACATAACAAGTAACAATAGGAAATAGTCTAGCAATGTGAAATATCCTACTCAGAGTGAAAATAACACTGGGAAATGTATAAACCCTGCTTCCACAATTCCTGTGATTTTTTTACTAGATAAATGTTTATCTTCTTCATCAAGAAACATTAAAATCAGTTTTCATGTCATCATCCCATGACTTTCAATGGTTGGCCACAGTAGATACGAGTAATATTACTAGCATTCATCTCTCACCTACCAGTAGTCATATGTGTCATCCCAGTTGTCAAAGTGCACCAAAAAGCGATTGTCTACCACATCTGTCACTGTGGCCACACAAATCAAAGAAGGATTCATACGGTCCACTGCTTCAAGCTTCATCCCTACTTGGAATCCTATGGGAGCACCATTCTGAGGAATGAGAAGGCAGAACCTCATGCATTTGTCACTCATGATGCAGCTGCTGCAATTCTATAATGTAGATGTGGCAGTATACGTAGAGTCCAATTATGCCAAACTATCTATGCCAAACTATTTATATGACTCTGCATCAACAGAAGTAGATAAAAGCTACAGTGAAATGGATGGCATATACATTTAATAAACAAACAAACTACCTGGAGGTACGAACAACTTCATTTAATCCTAACCAGCATAGTTAACAGTGAAGAATAGTAGAAATTGTAATTTGATAATATCTAAGGCAGGGGTGTCAAACTCCCAGCCCATGGGCCAGATATGTCACGCACTGGCCACGCCCAGTTTAGTGAAGGGGGGAAAAGTCCCAATATGTCACGTGACAACGTGAATAAGACACCCCTGATTTAAGGGATAATAGATTTTTAACCCTAGTTTATGCGACCTGGAGATATAAAGGAATTTTATGAGGTAATTCTATGATAAGTCAACAACATACTGTGGCCAGAACTGTTAAAGAATTGCTTGTGATGCAGAAAAGAAGGGACTTAGTAAAATTTCCAACAGTAGAAAATTAGAAATCTAATGGGTATTTTAATATTTCAATGAACATTCAAATGATTAAAGGTTAATCTAAATGGAATTATCTGTTATTCTTTAGAATAATTTGTCCTCAGAGCAGATTCATCAATGTTAAAGAAGTCACTGTTAATAAGAAAGGTGTAAATAAAGTTAAGCTACAAGTTCTGTGCTGCAAAAATCTGCATAATTATTAGATGGCAGAAAAAGGATGCAGAAAAATCTGACTCTCTGCTGTCATCTAGTGGTTTTTTTCAATTTTTGCAAGCAAGATATGTCAGCCCTAAGACCTAGCTTTGATCCAGTAATAAATCAGTTACAATCCTTACTATTAATCCAATGAAATTATTTAATTGGCTGATAACTTTAATTATTATTGCAGGTGTGTTCAAATTACTTATTTTTTTAAATCCTGATTCAAAAGATCAAATGAAGGATGACTGTGGAATATAAGTCAGGCTCTCTCTTACTGCTGTTTCAAGAGTGAACAAAAGAGATTAATTTGTAAAATAAAACAGCAGCCACTCACACTGTCTGGACTTGCAAAGAGATGCTTGGGAGCTGCCTGAGCTTTGGTAATCTTCAAGTAATTGGCCCAGCTGAATTCATCTTCCTTGTAACCTAAACCCCATACATAAAGGAGACATAAGAGGAGACATACCAACAGAAGTCCATAGTGCTTCATTCATTCATAGGGATCACCATCAAAAATGGAAAAAGCAAAACATGTTACAGGAAGAATTAAAGATAGCACATCCCTTTTCAAGTACCAAGCAATATGCCTTATGGTATAAAATGATACTAAGATCATTTTTTCAATGACTAAAATATTGTGAAATTTCAGCAATTTCACAAGCTGTTCATGTTCTCACTTGAAAATTGTTAATATTTCTGGTGAGAGCTTGAACATCTGAGATTGCCATTTTTATTCTGAAATTAATATTTCATTGTGCACTTTTATGGATATGAACTGAGGGCTTGCAAGATAGTTGTTTCTGAAGGCAACTTCAGTATATTGACTTTCCTTATAATACTGAGAACCCCAGAAGAGACAGTTTTACACTAGTAAGATATCCCAAATAAGTTTGGAGGTCTCTCACAATATTAGGGTTAGGATTGTTGTGTGCGTGTGTGTGTGTGTGTGTGTGTGTCTTTCAATGATATGGATGCACACTTGCAATGTGTATACTTTCATGATGAAGAGTTATAAGAAATTTGAGCAAATATAGCTAGCATAACATAACATCTCAGTTATCCTAATAATTACCTTTATGGAATCTGTATTTTTGCTTCTCACAGGTAACAGAGTTATAACTTCATTTTATACTGTGTATACTATTTAATTTCATCTCAAGAATCTGAAGAATCAAAATGAAGATGTATTTCCTTATTTGTTCTTATCCCTTATTTTGGGTTGCAATTCTCCAGTCAAATTAACTATATTCCCAATAGAAGTTTAACCAAACTTAAACAAGAATGGCTCCCATACATACCGTGTTTCTCACAAAATAAGGCCAGGCCTTATTTTTTTTTGAGCCCCGAAAAAAAGGCTAGGACGTCTTTTCGGGGTGAATTAATTTCTCCCTCCCCCCCGTGCACCAGCGCCGTCTCCAACAACAGCGTCTGAGTCGCTCCCGCTTTCCCCCCATCCCCGTAACAACAGGGGGGAAAAAACATTTTGAGGTACCTGGGAGCGCTGTGAGCTGCGTTTTGGTTTAAACCCAAGTGGCTGGGTGGGCGTGAGAAGAGCCGAGCGAGCATCTCTGCTGCTGTTATCCTTGGTGCTCCAGCCTCGGGCTCTGCAAGTTTGCAAAAGTCCCAGTGCGCAGCCTGTTCCTGCATTCCAAGCACCCAGGCCGAGCTGCAGCTGTCCCTCTCTCGCCAGCGCCATCTTCAATAACAGCGGCAGCAGCGGTGGGAACCGTGGAAGTTACGAAGGCGGCTCCCCCACCCGAGAAGCAGCTGAAACGCTTCCACGGTTCCCACCACTGCTGCCGCTGTTACTGGAGACGGCACTGGCAAGAGAGGGACAGCTGCAGCTCGGCCTGGGCGCTTGGAATGCAGGAACGGGCTGCGCACCGGGACTTTTGCAAACTTGCAGAGCCCGAGGCTGGAGCACCAAGGGTAGCAGCAGCAGAGACGCTCGCTCGGCTCTTCTCATGCCCACCCAGCCTCTCGGGATTAAACCAAAACGCAGCGCGCAGCGCTCCCAGTTACCTCAAAATGTTTTTTTTTTCTGTTGTTACGGGGATGGGGGAAAAGCAGGAGCGACTCAGACGCTGTTGTTGGAGATGGCGCTGGCGAGAGGTGCCAGCACTGGTGGGAACCGTGGAAGCTACGGAGGCCTGAGAAGCAGCTGAAACGCTGCTGGACATCCATGCCAACGCCGCCCGCCTGCTGACCCGGATAAGGGAGGGGTAAGGGAGCCCTCCGTGCTCCACCATGGTGTTAGGAGCGGCTGATGGTGAAGCGTAGCTGCCCGTGGGGCACTCCTAATGGCAAGTTCCCCCCACCTTCCCCCCCAATTTCGCATGTTTTAAACTAGGCCTAAATTTGTGGGGAGGGGCTTAATTTCATTTTATGCCTAGAAAACATGCTGGGTCTTCCTATTGGGGGGGCGTATTGTTGGAGAAACACAGTACCATGTATCATACAGCATGGCACATTTATAGTTTAGCTTCTAAGAGGTCTTAAATGTTGATAAATGTTGTAAATTAGCAGAAGCATCAAAAAAGGGAAATTAGAAACCAAACAGCCTTTATTTTCTATTATTTTTCCTTTTTTGTTTCTGTCACCTGTTTTTCTTTGTCTTTCTTGTTTTCTCAACATGCCTAAACAAGTAACAATACAATGGAGACCTTAGTATTTTGTAATCAACTGAAGACAGAAATCTTCATTGTATAACAAAAATCTTGATGTAATACGCAGCTGCTTCTTAATGCTAGATCCAGTTTCAGTTGTAAATGCTAAATTATCTTATGTTTATTAATATCAATATTTTGAATCAGTTTATATTTATTATTTATTTATTTATATCCCACCTTTTTTGTTTTTATAAATAACTCAAGGTGGAGAACATATCTAACACACTTTCTATTTTCCTCAAAACGATAATTCTGTGAGGTGAGTTGGGGCTGAGAGAGTATGACTGGCCCAAGGTCACCCAGCTGACTTTCATGGCTGTCGGGACTTGAACTCACTGATATTGATATAACACCTTTTTTAAAAATTATTAATGGTTTAAGTTTCCTAAACATTAGAGTATTAATAGTTTCTTGTCAGCGCTGTTATCAGCACTGCATAAATACCACTGTATCAAATAACGTAATGTATTATGCCTGTCTTATAACAATGTATTTTTTTTATTGTAGAATACAGAATGACAGAGTTGGAAGGGACCTTCTTCTTCTTCCTCAGGCAGGAAGCCCTATACCTTTTCAGACAAATGGCTGTCCAATCTTTTCTTAAAAATTTCCAGTGTTGGAGCATTCACAACTTCTGGATTCAAGCTGTTCCACTGATTAACTGTCAGGAGGTTTCTCTTTAGTTCTAGATTGTTTCTCTCCTTGATCATATTGCTTGCCAAAATATTCTGGAAAATATTCTTGTGGGCTTTTAAAAGAGTTACATAGTGATATAAAAACAGAATGAAATTGACCTAGCAATTTAGCTTTGGAAAAACTGGACACCGAAAACTAGAGATTCATCCACTTCTCCATTCTCTCCATTCCTTTAAAAGCACTTCATTCACTCACTCCTTCATTCACTTTGCCATCAGACAGGAAAAGCTTTTGGGTGTGAGCTTCTAAATGCACTGTCCTAATCTACCTACCTTTGGGAGGCTGAAGTTTGTGTCCCGTTTTCTCAAACCAGCCAGCAGGATGAATATTAGGAGAATCAGCATTCAGCCAAAAATCATGACATTCAGAGTAGCCATCAAAATGAAGCCGCATCCTGTAGCCGCATACCTGCATGCAGAAAAAGCAAGAGAAACACATAGGCTATCATATTAAATCATCATGCGTTGCTTTCCACTGAGAGATTATGCTATTTTATGATCACAACGTTTTTGCCTCTATTTTTAGTTTTAGTACTTCTTGTAACTAGGTTGCATATGAATGGAAAGCTTTAAAATACATAAGTGAAAAAAACTAGGGGCAAATGAGAGAATAGCAGAGCTAGAACAATATAAACAATATAAACTGCAACAATATAAACTCATCTCACCTCTGCTACAGTGAGAATAAAATACATTGAAGGGTGCTGAGGATCTATCCCTTCCAGTTTCATTCCCACTTTGAAACCATTCTTGTTTTGGGTAATCGACTGGTGCTAAAAAGAACAAGTCACACACACAAAAATTTAAGAGGTACATAATTGCTTCTAATGATACATTTATGCTATTAAATGGAAACTATTGCAATAAGACAATAGAGATTAAGATGGCACCTTAACTAAGATGGCAGCTCCCACGTGACTGCAAATTTTGCCTCATGTTTCTGCTTCTATTAGAAACAGAAGTTCAGTACACATATTTTGAGGACTTGAAGTAAGTCAAAATAATAAGCCAACTTATGATCAGAGTTGGGGCCAGAATTTCGATTGCTAAGCACAGTGGCTGTTAAAGGAGTTGTGCCTGATTTGACAAGGTTTTTTTTAATGGTTGTAAGTGAATCACAGCAAGGACCGGTCATAAATCACCTTTTTCAGTGCCACTATAATTTTGGCTACCAAATGAATGGTTGTAAGTTGTAAAAGAAGAGTACTGATTTCATTTTTTTCCTTCCAAAACAAAATGACTTTATTTGCTACATTTAAATTTCACTTGACTTTCCAATGCTTAATGGTCCTAAAAACACTATCGTATTGTATCTATATCCCAGAATGCAATTTCTCTTTCCCACGTTCATTATTTTCTTTCTTTCTGATGAACATTACTATGAGTGTTTGCTTTTTCTTTCCTTAACTTTGCTTGAGACAGAAATACATATGAGTTATGAAATAAATCTCTCTGGTAAAAAGAGGTTCCTACAATATAGCAACCATATAAACACCACTGGAATCAGAAAAAAGAATCAGATTCTCTTAGAGAAAAGAATAAATGATTACAGCATAAATATGTTGATTGACAGCAAAATGTCAAAATTCCATAAAGACAGCAGGTAAAAGAATACTGTAACTCACTTCTTGGAACAAATTTAAAGGGGCAGCTGTGGCTTTTTGTTCTTCTAGGTATGATGCCCAGGTCCAACTTTCTGCCTTCTCACTGGAAACTAAAAATATCAGAAAATGGAACAAATGAAATTTCCAAAACATTATATTAAGTGACATTTAGACACCTAGGGCAAAGTTTAGGATACTCCTCTTTCCAAAATTATAGCCATTATCTGCTTTCAGCTGTTGAAGACTGAACATTGCATTTTACTCAAAAGCATCCAGTTCTTCCTTTTATTCTGCACTTATACTTTCTGGCTGCAGATGGGACAAGCATAGCTAGATTACATCTCAGAATGAACAGATAAGAAAAGCATAACCTCTGACAGAACATACCATTTCATATTTGGGGATTATTAATGATTACATTGTAGTTGCTCAAACAAGGAAGCCATGTTATATGCTTACCAAACTGATTGGCAATCCATTCTTCATTACTATTATTAGCAGCAGGAAGTTCTCCTCCTGAACCATTTATCTCCTCCTGCTTTAGTTCCTAAGACACACAAACAAAATCTCTTATTTATGGGGATACCAAGCAATTTTAGAGGCTTTCTTAGAAGGGGAACACTACACACTTAGGAGAAGGGATAACATAATTAAAAGTGATTACATTCCAACTCAGTTACATTGAATATATATATACTAAACATTGTTCCTCATGAATTTTCAGTGATAAAATGTACTACCGGTATTTGGTACCAATTTTTTAACACCTGTGTAGTCATTCCCAGGGTTTGGATGGTTACCTGCAATCTTGGGGTTTCAGATTATGTCCCCTAACTTTCTATGATCAACTTCAGGTTACCCTTTTAATAAATAAATCAAAGAATTTTGTAACACTCTAAAGACAAACAATATTTGTGATATAAGCTCAAGGCATAAGCTTTTAAAATTCTCTTCATCAGAGAATACATCTACAAAGTATTATAAATGCCTATGATGGATGACAGAGACTGCAAACAGAGGTCAGTGAAAAATAAAATACAGATGTGAGAATAACCTTATTACTCTGGCATTCTCAAAATATTTGCTGCCTATGACACAGACATTCTCACATCAGTGAGCTGATTAACACAATGCAATGTGCGAACAAATCTCGATTCCTCTTTAACAGAAAAGAGACCTCTTGATAACCGCAAGAAGCTTTGAAGGTACCAAGAAGAATATTGTTGACTTAGTAGTATCTACAGGCTCCATGTTGGTGATCCAGGACTTATCATAAATTTGCTGTCTTTACAAAACTCTTTGCTTCTGTAAGATCAGTTCCAGGGTGCTGATATATAACGAAAACTTGTACTCCAGAAATCTTTAGGACAGTAAGTTACTGTAAATTAAGATAAGTAGGAATGCAGCAAAAACCAAAGCTGAATTGGTCCTTAAGGGAACTTGCAACTTAAGGCAAATACAAATGAAACATAAGAAATCTGAGTATATCTTTAAGTTATTTTTAACTTGAAATCAGCCCAAACAAAAAGAGACTTTTTTTTTTTGCAAGACTATAGAGCAAAAATTGTTTAGAGAATAGAGATATAGTAGTGCTGTTTCAAAATTTCACCATCCCACTTTTTACCAGTCATACTCCTGGAAGGAGATGTACCAGAATTATGACCCGACTTTATCCCTTGTAAGGATAACTGCATGCTGCATTTGTGCAATGGAATGAATGTAGGAGTATGATTTTAATCCAGAAAATGAATTAGTAATCCTGCTTGGGATATGGTTGCATTCAAAATTAATGCTCTTTGCAGTGCTTTCATGAAGAAAAAAGAATTAAGGGGCAATATTTGGTTCCAGATTCCTTGCATCATCTTAGTTTTAGCTGTGTGTTGCATTTACAAGTTAGGAATACTTCTAGAAACTTTACAAATAATATCAATTTCTAAACAAGCAGTGATGATATAGGGATGCATGAGGTAAAAAATCCACAGATGGGGAATACTTTATTAGAAAAGGGAAAAGGGGAGAGAAGAGGCTTGATCAAGATGCATAAGCTACTGCTTTTGACTTATCCTGTAGATAGCTGTGGTTTTATAATATATTCAAAGATAAAAGCTAGTTTAATGCAGCATTGTATTAGGGTTAAATTAGCAATGCCCTCCAGATGTTTTGAACTACAGCTCCTTTCAGTTCACACCCTCAAATTCAATAATACAGATTGTAAATTATTCAATACAAAACATCTGGAAGGTACTAGGCTTGTATAAATGTGTGGTTTTCAATGAGTAAGACAAATGTAGATTAGTAAATCTGCAGCGTAATGATATGAATTCTGAATATGTATGAGTCACTTCTCATGAGATGAACAGCCATATAAATTTGATAAATGTATACGTTTGTAAATTTAAAAAGTTAAGCAATTGTCAAGTAATAAATTATTTCAAAACCACAAATTATAGGTATACCTCTTTCAAATGACAGCTGGCTTTGACCATGTCCAAAATTACCAGCACTATTTTTATTTCTGCACAATGCAGCCTGACTGTCCTGACCTTCTCTTGATTTCTCAAGAGTGTTGCCCTGCTGGCCAAAGAAAACTATATGAAATGGCCTCTACCTAGCACTCTGCCTTGTTTCCCCCATTTTACGAAGAGTCAAAATATAAGCACAAAGAATAATCAACAAAAGCTGTTGTATCTGGTGCAGCAAAGTGCTTCTCAAAGCATCCAGTGGAAAGTAGGGGAACAATGATAAGGTACCATGGCATATCCAACTTAGGAAAAGAATGGATACCCTACTATTCAGTGCCATCCCTATATAGTGGAAGAACCCATATTTAGAATATAACAGTCACTTCGAAGCGGAATCTTGATCACTGAGGAAATGAAGGACAGATATGAACATCTCTTTCCTCTCTAGAAGTCCTATAAGTTACTTGTACAAATAGATATGTGTATGTTACGTTGTGCCTATGGACCATTCCTTTATATCTGTGGGGCACCAAAGAGTTTAAGGCAGCTGTACTTCCCTCCTGCACTAAAAAAAAAAAAAAAAAAGTTGCCCATCCCTACTTTGTAGTGTCCACTGGTTAAAGCTATGGCTCCATGGTCTGACTGGCTCTCACTTAGGCCAGTCCAATGAATGAGCGAGCATGCATACCAGGAAAAAAAATGCTGCTATCAGATTCTACTGCAAATACATGCAAGAACATCCCAGTCACACCATTTGCTCTGATTCTTCCTCTTCTTCCTCTGAAGGGCTTTGATAATCTTTCCTCTTCCGTTTCTTTACTGGCTTGAGAAGTTCGGTAGTGTTGGTGATGCCAGCAGAATTCTCCACAATGACAGACCTACAAAAACAACCAAACTTGCAGATTCTCCAGACAATGTTTCTCAAGCGATGAGAGTTGGGTTAATACTAAAACTTTCTACTGCAACAACATTGACAAAATACAATAAACATTTTTTTTTCAAGGAAGGCACACTTCAATGTTAACATTTTTAAACATTCAGAAATACTACACCTACACTACACTACACTACTACACTACATTCAGAAATACTTCAGCGTTTCCATTAGAGGACACTGAAATAAAACCTTAAATGAAATTGATTCATGCAATTTAATTCTGTTTCTCAAACATCATTTTAGTTATTTTAGGAAAATTTTAGAAAAATCAAGACTAATCAACATTGATAATAAACCTATGCTTGACATTCATCGCTACAAAGCAATTTTGACATCATATTCTTATCCGCTCCTAAACAAAGAAAAAAGGAAAAAAAAGAAACCAGAATGCTTCAATCTGGATGAAAAATATTTGAAATTTGGGAACATTCATTCTGGTGAAATTATAAGAAAATGTACTTTGGCAAGGGTGATGCAATTCCTCTATAGACATTCATATACACCTTACAAAATCCTCAGGTCAAAAGATTGCCTATGAAGAAAGTGCACTTAATATATGTGTAGCTTGTCCTTCTCTACAATGTTCTCTAACTTCTGGGAATTGAAATCCATACATCTTAAAGCTGATAAGGTTGAGAAACACTGATGTAACCTATGTTACATAAATTTGTCTATATTACCGTATTTGCCGGCGTATAAGACGACCCGGCGTATAAGACGACCCACCACCACCACCAGAAACGCCCTCCAGAAATCCCCGGGGCTGCAGCGGCAGGGCGGAGTGCCAGGGGCCGTGGGAAGAGCAGGAAGGCTGCAGCCTCGGGCGGAGCGAGGCGAGCGGGATGAAGCGGAAGCGACGCAGGGGATCCGGGAAGCCAGAGGCGCCTTCGCTGCGTCCAACAAGCATCCGAAAGCCGGCAGTGGATATACCGGCGTATAAGACGACCCCCACACTTGGAGGCATGTTTTTCGGGGCAAAAAAGTCGTCTTATACGCCGGCAAATACGGTAGTTATTCAGCATTAATGGATGCTCTTTTGCCCAAGTGCTCCTTTAAAACAAGATTTACAGTATTTCTTTCTGTCCATGGAAGAAAGGAAAAAAACAGCAGGAACAAGACATAAAAAGTGCATTATTTTTTCTTCTCTCCCTACCTCCTCTCCCCATCCCCTTTAAAGACAACTTCTTTATTACCTTTCTTTGAACTGCCGGTGACAGTTCTCACTACAAAATGCCCGGCCTTCCTGGGTTGACCCAGAAATATTTCTTCGGCCACAGGTATTGCAGTGGCATAGGTTGTCTACCGTTGGGAGTTTAAGAGGCTCTGGAATATCTGATTCTACAGAAATCAGAAAGTGAAAAGCTCAAATAAGTCACATCAATGTTATGATAATGAGAACATTTTCTGGGTCAGACTAAATTGCAGAATGATAATCCAGTGGGCTGAGCTGTATGTTCTATGTGCCAATTATTCAGACATATTTTAGGCCAAAGGTACAAAATGAAAATATAACAGCCTATCTTTCAGAACTCAGACCATGATCAGAGCAGTAGAAGCTCAACATTTGAAACATCTCTTTTACATTTTTCAGTGTTTGTGGGGTTTTAAGTATCAGAATGACACCTTACACTTTGCAAAGGTTTAAGAATTAATTTTATCACTGAAAACACTACAATTCCTCTCCACAAATGGCCCCTGGAATCATCCATTTTGAAATGCAGCCCTTTACATTTGCAAAAGTCTGGCAAAGCCTCAAGCAGACAAAAATATATGGGCTTATGATTAATAACTACAAAGATTACCACATCGAGAAAGTACACATATTATGGATTCTGGAATACTGTCCAAATCTTTAATAGCAGCTCCAACTTGATTATGAGGAATGAAGGAGGGGGGCGTTAAGAATGAAGCAATTAGCAGCATTCTAAGTTACTGCCTGATTGCCTCTTTCCTAACATTTTTACATTCAGCAAATTTTTATGGATTTTTTTTCTCTCTGCAACCCCTTGATGAATCCAAACTGTTTTTAAGGTCAATCATCTTCTGCTATATCAGTTGGGTACATTTTTCTTCATTTTTCAAAGAGTAATCCGGATGACCAATAAAATAATGGACAGATTATCTGAGACCTACACAAAATGTATTTGCAACATTACTTTGGGCCTGGAAAGAAATGATACACGTTATTCTGGGTAACACAGAATGATCAGGACTAGAGGAAAAGAGTGCTTGAGGAATTCACATTTCCCAGGAAAACAGGACATCTATGAAATTCATGAAGTATTAAGAGCAATTAGTCATAGCTTTTAACATTCTCCATATTGCTGTGGTTTAGTAAAACCTATTCTTGTGGAAACGAGATATATAAAGGTTTGTATGCTTCCCCTCTCCAAATCCTCACCTGGAGTCCTGATAGGATTGCCCTTGCAGGTAAGTACCCCTCCATCATCCCCATTTCTTTCCAGCTGACATTCCTGAATGGGTTCTGCAGGTGAAAGTTTGTCAGCACTAACTACTTTCACTGTCCCGTATTCATTTATTCGAAACTGTGTCAATACAAGATGGAAAGAAAAAAATCAATGGGGAAGCAAGCAGCAAATTTGGGACATGACAATATCGTGATAGAGTGAAAACAAACTGTCCTTCTTTCACTGAGCATAAGAAAACACACCTAGAATCACCTTGGTTTACCTTCAGACACTTTGTGAGGTAAGCTGGACTGCAAAACAGCAGTTGAATCAATACGTGCTTTGAGTATGTTCATAGGACATACATGACAATAATATACATATGTTCAGGGACAAAGGGAATACTTGCAAGAATATAGCTTCAGTAACAGAATGTTGTAATGGATGATCGCTTGGTATATTTAAGAGGCTGGCCTAAATTCTTTTTAAAAATTTTCAGTGATAGATTCTAAATCTCTATTAAATTATCATCTCAAATTGGAACTGCGGTTTTAAATAAGCATATGAATGCTATTGAGGGACCTAAGGACAAGTGTCATGCTTTAGCAAAAGACCTGAATGCCAGGCCCAGGTTCTCATATTTTCCCTTTTCGGAAAGGCCTATGCCTAGTATAGGTAGTTCTCAATTTATGGATGTAACTGAGCCCAGAATTACAGTCTTCGGTTGTTAAATCAGCCATTTTACAACTTCTTCAGTACTGGTCAATAAGTGAACATTACTTTTGATAAGCAAATGCAGTGTTCATGAAGGAAATTAATGTTATCCAGTAGACATTTTTTTATCAGAAACCAGAAGTAAATACCAGAAACTATTTTTTTTAAAACTTGCACTCATGTAGGAAGATGCAATCAGCCATAAAAGTGAGATAGTTGCCAAGTGCCCAGAATGTGATCACATTGCAGGTGTGTGTGTATTCAGCCTCTGTAAATGTAAAATCAGGTCGTAAGTACCTTTTGGGGGAGGCGTCTGTCAGAACTTTGAATGGTTGGTAGGTGGCTTGTCGTAAATTGAGGACTAATATGCATATTATGTATCAATCAAGTAATTTTCCCAATGGAATATACACCTAAGAACCAGGGGTGGGATTCAATTTTTTTAACAACTGGTTCTGTGGGTGTGGCTCAGTTGGTGGGCGTTGCTTGGTGGTCATGTGACTGGGTGGACGTGGCTTGGTGGTCATGTTATTGGCTGGCCATGGCCAACTCAATATCACTCACATCGAGGCACGCATCTCCTCGCCTGGCCTCTCATGACTGTGGGGATGCTGCAACAGTCGTAAGTGTGAAAAATGGTCATAAGTCACTTTTTTCAGTGCCATTGTAACTTTGAATGGTCACTCCACACAAGCAAAGTACCAGCAAAGGAGGGGAAAAAACCTCCAGAGAAGTTCCAGAGACAGGAAGTCTAGTCCTGTCAAGAATGTAATAAAGGTTAACAGAGAGGCAGTTTCCGTAAGCAACACCAGAATGTTTCCTTCCTGCCTTCCTTACAGGATTAGGCCAGTAATTTCTTCTAACAACCGGTTCTCCGAACTGCTTAGAATGTTAACAACCGGTTCTAGCGAATAGGTGCGAACTGGTAGAATCCCACCCCTGCTAAGAACAACAAAAAGAGTCTTCATTGATTTACCCTTAGGTTGCTCCCAGGCAGAGTGGCAATCCCATCTTTCCATTCTAGATCCCGGATGGTGTTGCAAATCTGCACTCCACTGATCTGAGGGATGACTGTTGCTGTGATGGGCTCATTCCCCACACCCTCTCTTGGTCTCTCTGTCCCCATGTTTTTCTGGGCTTCTCGGGGGAATCGCTGGATTTCTAAGGTGTTCACTGGAAGATTTATAGTAGTTGTGGTTGCTGATGAAGAAGAAAAGCAGTACAGTATAAACGTACTGATATACATGCAAAGGTCACCCAATTTCATTACAGAGCAATAATCCTGATATAGCTGAGTGCTGAAGGGAATATGAGTAGAAGTGGAAGATTCCTAAACTTTACAAGTAGTATAAAATCAGTGAGTTGCAAATCTGTAGCTTGAATAATCCCAGGGCATCCCATTTTGGCACCAGAATCTTCAGTGATGACAACACTTTTACCTAATGTTTGGCATTTGGAAGGGGGAGTGGTTATCCCTTAACACCACCCACCCACCAAATAGGAATGATTTCCCTCCAACATTTTCTCACTGCTAGTTCCAGTGATATCACAGGCTATCAAAATGTTGCCCAGGTTCCTGTAATGCCAGAATAAAGGCACATATAAAATAAAACGTAACTTCTCCCCTTCTTTTTTCAGGAAAAATTCCCATTACTGCTTTAAGGGGTAGAATACATTTTAAAATCTTGGCATGCATTTATCATACTTGAATGCTCAGTTCAACCTTCTCCACCTTGGTAACTTCCAGATGTCCTAGACCAGTGATGGCAAGCCTATGACACATGTATGACTTGTCATGCTATTTTTAATGACACACCTAGAAGCCACATGAGAAGATGGGTGTTCTTGTACATTCTTGCATGACTTTCAGAGGGTCCAGAGGCCACATGAGAGCACACCACATTCTTGTATTGCTTCTGCACTCTCCAAAAAGTACAGGAAGTTCTTTTGTAATTTTTGGAGAGTGCAGAAGCACACAAGAATGAAACAGTAATCAGAGCCTCTGAAAGTTGTACGAAAGGTCCCTGATCTCATGTGCTCTAGAGCCTCTGAAAATCACACCTCAATGGGGCATGCTTTTCTGCTTTTTTAGCGGTTGCAAGGCCATGCAAGAGATTTCTGCCTTTTGCAATCCAAAACTGCCTTCGATAGGTGGTTTTTGCTCCTACGAGACAAAGTCAAATAAAAAAATATTTATGTAAGGTTTTTTATTTATTAAAATTTTTATGCTGCCCATCTCAAATGACTCTTTGTTATAAACTGTTTCTCTTTTATTTGGAGTGGGATGATAGGGCAGCAGAGTCAACTTGGGCATTTACTGAATTTTTGACACAATGTACACCATCACTGCTCTAGATTAGAGTATAACTTCAAGATCTGTGATAGCTAGAATATATGGGAGTTGTAGTGCAACATCCCTGTAGATGCTAAGTTGCTTAAAATCAAGATATGTAAATACAACATCCTTCCTTCTTCTAAGAATACTAAAATCAATAAGGGATCTTTAGCCTTAAAAGGAAATTGTAGTAATATAATTTTTCTAGTGTAATTGTGATACACACTTAAAATTTATTTGCAGTTTACAATTGCATTAATTCTCTGTACTTTATGTCCTCATATCTGGGGGGAGGGGTTATGAAAAGATCAACATTCAAGCTAAATATAGTGTTGAAACATTTTACAACTGTCTTTTATTAATGTATGTTATCAACTTGAAAAATATAGAATCAATTAAATGAGGAAAAGTGACCCAGCTGTGTTTGTGATCTAATACAAAAGGCATAACATTGAAAAAAAAAGGAACTATAAAAAGAATTGAAAGCAGAAAAGTAACAAACTTCAGCACTTGAGCACTCACCTGGTATGATGAAGGTAGTTGCTGGTAAGTGGACATTTTGCACCGTATTTTCACTGGCCACCAAATGGACACTGACCTCCCCAGTTGCATTTCCTTTTGTGCTTCTTATCACTTCCATCTCTGCTCGCCCATCCATTACTTTACCTAACAACACAGGATATATAATTGGAATCAGGAAGTATGGATTCCATGAAACCACAGGAGAATTAGTATCAAAGCTTATGCCAGCCTTCTCTAATTTTGTGACCTCCACTTTATTAAGACTGCAGATCCCAAAATTTCAAGCCAGGATAGACAATAGAGAACTTCTCTATTACAAAAATAGCTGCCAAGGTGACCATTGTCAATCATGATAATCAGGGGGAGAGGTGCTTCGGTATCCCTTCTAGTTCCACATCTCTCCCTGCCACCTTAGTTTTGTCTCTCCTGGACAGATAAGCATACGTTTAAATAAAGAGTTAGGCTTCAGCCCACCCACTAGTTTTGTTTTCTGTCAATGCCTATAAAGCCATACTTGAAAATGAGGTTGAAGCCTGGGACTTTGTAACATGCCAACTTTCCCCTATTTTTTAAGCAACTGAATAAATACAAGCATAAATATAATTGGAGGTAGGGATAGAGTGCCTGGATGGGGGCATCGCATTGCTTACTCCTATTGTAAACTGTCTTCATATGTATGCATAAATTACTGAGTGTAACAAGCCTTTTTTTTCAGTGGAACAAGACTGCCCTTTGAAACTTCTGAGAAATTGACAGACTTAAAAAGATGCAATGCAGGTTTCCTTCCATTTATTCAATGGTACAATTTTTGTTGCTGTTGTAGTATTGCTGTACAGTTGCTTATTGTTTCTAACTCTGCATAACCTACTGAATTGGGAGCCTACAGTTTGCTAAATTGTCTGTAACAATTATGAATTCTTGCAAGCTCCTTCTTAAGTCAACACTGATAGTCTTTAGCTACCTAACAAAAACTAGATTGTGCCTTTATTATTCCAGCAAGGATCATTAAGAAGGGTTTAATTACCACTTAGTATCTGATTAAGACATAGCACATCAGAGATTTTCCATGACAGGGCAAAGCAACAATGAGTCTCTTCAAAAAGGCTGCCTTTCACTTCTGTTTTATATTCTGTTACACTGAACATAGTTCTGAAAACAGAAAAATGTTCAAGCAGAAGGCCCAGCTGTTCTCTCTCCTGCTATCCTTTCTCCATCTTGATTATGGGCTAAATCAAAGCCTTTATTGAAAGAGATAATAAGTAATGACTTTAGCTAGGATAACTGTATTGACTTGGAAATCTCTTCATGTGACAGCTGCCCCCCCTTTTTTTCTTTTATTTCAATAAATTCCATTTTTATATTTAGAGATTTGGTTTTGTTTGCCAAAGGAAGTTCTCTTTAAAATGTTGCCTATGTGCAAGACTGCAGGGATACTCATCTTTTGTGTTTCAAGACTGGCACAAGGTTGGTTAAATTCTGTATTGCTCAGAATTCTTGCTCAGAAGATTCAAAAGCTGCTCTTTCTTAGGACTGGGTTGAAGGGAGAAGTTGCAGGTATAAGGGCTGAAGACACTTTCTGGAGAAACCTGGATAGCAATAGCAATAGCACTTATATTTTACAGCACTCTCTAAGCAGTTTACAGAGTCCGCATATTGCCCCCAACAATTTGGGTCCTCATTTTACCCATCTCAGAAGGATGGAAGGCTGAGTCAACCTTGAGCCTGGTGAGATTTGAACTGCTAAATTGCAGGCAGCCAGCAGTCAGCAGAAGTAGCCTGCAGTACTGCATTTTAACCACTGCGCCACAATGGCTCATGTTGTGAATGTTATGGAAAGTTCAGCTCACCTTTGGCAGCCTATTTTAAGTATCTTGCACCACAGAATTCTTGGACAAAAGGATCTGCAACTACTCTTTTTTTTAAACACTCCTACATTCCAATTTCTTACACACATATCCCTATTTTATTTTATTTTATTGTAAATTAGACTGGTTAAAAGAAAATGCCAGCACTCCCTATGGTGTTCCAATGTCTAGAATTTTATATTTGGAACACAGTTCAAGGGCTCATTGTTTTAAAGAATATTCAAGCACTCAAGTTGATTCGAAAGAATCAACAAGCAGATTTAAAAGCATATGAATGACAAACAACAGAAATCAGGAAAGTTCAGCTGGAAAGATGTAAATAACAGGTTTCCTAACATTTAGAACAAAAGCTCTATTGATAACTTCTCCAATGGACAGAAGAATAGGTTATAAATTGAAATAAATGAAATAATACCATTGCATTTTTTATATCAGGAACACACAAAGAATATATCATAAGGAATGATCGCCAATAATATAGTTTTTTTTTAAAAAAAAATCTATGTTCTATACAATAATTGTTATGTTCTGTTGATGCTGGAATTTTCTTGTTTGTTTGGGTGTTTTTAGTATAATTTTATTAAGATATGTTTACATGAAAAGATAAAAAATTCAGAAAAAGAAAAAAGAAAGAGTTAGAAAAAAATACAGAAAATAAAAAAGAAAAATATTTTTGAAAAGCAACTTCTGATCTTCTTTACAACAGTTATAAACTTATCACTTCACCTCCTTTAAAACTTTGAATAGTTTCATTTTTGACATTGATTTGGATTATCATCCTATTATTTGAATTTGAAAAGAGAAATATATAAATACAAACTAGCCTAAACCACCTCTTAAGTCAGAGGCAACAACCTGCCATATGTCTGTGCGCAAAGCTGCAACCGCCTGACTATAATTAAGAGCATTTGATTTTAAAAATGTAAACAGAATCAGACTTCCCATAGTGCCGACTACTAATGCCACATGGCATCTGGATTTAACATGCTACAATCATTATTAATAACACCTCTTAAATCACGGCCATACTATGGCCCCTGCATGAAACAGAGAATGAGGTTCTGAGGTTTCTAAATTTCTCAGAAACAGGGGGCCAAGCCCTTATGTGGGCGTCATATCAACTGCTTTAGTAAAAATATCACAGGTATTGTATCACTCAATGAACGTCTTTGCAGGAGCCATATAAAAGCAGCTATTTTGATACAAAGAGGTTCATGCTATGTTATACACCCATCTGTTAGTAGGATCTAGATCCTGAAAAATCTGTTTTATTTATCAAACTGAATTAAAATTAATATACAACATCTGTACATTATTTCCAAATAAGATGTTTAGATGGATCCCAAATATTGTCTAGATCAGGGATATCAAATTCACGTTGTCACGGCAGCATCACGTGATGTATTGGGGCTTTTTTTCCCCTTCACTAAACCAGGCATGGACAAGGCCAGTGCATGACGCATCCAGCCCACAGGCCAGGAGTTTGACAGCCTGGTCTAGATGGAAGAAGACTGCCACAGAGTAGATTCAGTTTAGTAACACTTTCACTTGTATTCTTCATTCCTTGTTTCTTTCCAAGAAGATATTGTGTCAATAGTTGTTCCCTCAAAGTTTTATTAGTTGATTTTTATAATATTGATTTTATATTGGCTAATCTTGTTTATTCTGAATATTTTAATTAGTTGTGTTGATTATTATTTACCATGGATGATTTAAAAGTTGATTTATGATTGCAACCACCAACATTCCTCGTAGATTTGATGGTATACAGGTGGTTGAAACAAACAAGCCAACCAATAAATTATATTTGTGCCTCCATAACAAATTTGGAATAATTATGTATATGATTCATATAGCATCATAGGGCACTCAAAATGGTTAACAAGAAAGCACAATATAAAGTAAAACATCTAAATTATCACAAAAACAGTAAAATGACTTATAGTGAATAAAGTGACCTTTCTTAGCAAACAAGCTCAGACACTCGATACATCCACAAGAGTGATGATCTGGTAGGAAAGTAGCATTTTCCACTGGAAAATGAACAAAACCTCCTGTGTTAAAGAAGTCTCTGATAGCCCTCTGCAAGACTGTCCCTGCCATCCAGCTGTGGCTTTCTATTCCTTCCAAGGCTACTGCTGCTTTGACAGTTCATACTAAAAGAGCAGGAGAAGCTTCTTGGAAGAGAAGTGAAACATCTTCAAGGAAAAAACAAAGTCCAATTGCTTTTTGAAAAAACACTTTTGGGACAACCACGAATGAGAATCTCCATAGATACTCACATTAAAAGATACCTGCAAATTCATTAGCAGCCATTTCCAGGGGTGGGATTCAAATTTTTTAACAACCGGTTCTGTGGGCGTGGCTTAGTTGGTGGGTGTGGCTTGATGGTCATGTGACTGGCTGGGCGTGGCCAACTCAATATCACTCACATCGAGGTATGCATCTCCTTGCCTGGCCTCTCATGACTGTGGGGATGCTGCAAGTCATAAGTGTGAAAAATGGTCATAAGTCACTTTTTTCAGTGCCATTGTAACTTTGAATGGTCATTCCACACAAGCAAACTACCAGCAAAGGAGGGGGAAAAAACTCCAGAGACGTTCCTGAGACAGGAAATCTAGTCCTGCCAAGAATGTAATAAGGGTTAATGGAGGGGCAGTTTCTGAAAGCAAAACCAGAATGTTTCCTTCCTGCCTTCCTTACAGGATTAGGCCAGTAATTTCTTCTAACAACTGGTTGTCCGAACTGCTTAGAATGTTAACAACCGGTTCTAGCGAATAGGTGCGAACTGGTAGAATCCCACCTCTGGCCACTTCTCTACTACAGTGAAAATTCCCAAACACAAGCTGCTCTTTTTATTTATTTTTCAAATTTAGAAACCTCGCATTTCCCTCACAGAAAGACTCTGGGCAGCATACAAATAAAATGTTAAAACCCGTACATGAAATTTAAAAAGAAGCAAAGATAGCTAAAATTCAATATATAAAGTTAATTAAAAGGGGGGGGTCTTCAGTGTGGTAACCAGCCCCACAGCTGCATGCTCCTTTGTGAGCCCCACACAAGATAGCAGAGCCATATTATCAAGCCTTCCTGAAAGGCCAGAAAAGAGGTGGGGGTCTGCCTCACCTGGGGGGGGGGGATAGAATATTCCAAAGGGAGGGGGCAACAGCTGAGAGGGCTCTCTTCCTGTTGCCAAATATTCCTTGTACAATGGCCAACTGGCAAGGAAAAGTACTGGATTCCAGCCTGGAGTCCACCAGTATGTAACAGA